TTTACTGATGGAATTTGGAGAAAATTGATGTAAACTTTACTAATCAAGCTTGTTTTTTCAGTCAATGGAAAGTTGTGTGGCTGGTATAATAATTAAAGGATACAGTTCAAGGTCAAGAAGTTGCAAGGAGATGAAGGGAATGTTTTTTTTTTTGAAGTCACACTTTATGAAAATTTTAGGGTATCAGACTATTTAAAGTTCACTGTAATGTACTTTTCAACTGTTTTCGAATATTTGAATAATTTAGCTATTAGTTTAGTTGTAATAAATCGTTTATTCGTTGGAGATTTAGTTGCATTGTTGATTCATTACGCTTTTATGTCCGTACCTTTCGTCATTCCGAGCTCAAAGATATCCGGACATAAATATAGATTGAAATGTGGCTAAAATGGTTCTCTTTAGCAAATCTTTTTGATTTTAATTGTTTTGTCGATAGCGGATAATTTAGCTACATGGGGAGCTTTTTTGCTGTTACACTTGACCGGAATTGATGTGTGCTTGGAACGTGGCGATGCATGATCGGAAAGAGATGTCTGTTTTTATTTAATGGCTCACGTGTTGATGTTAAGATTTCCTGTTGCAGGCTTTAGGTGATGAGATCAAGGCAAGATATGAGAAGGCAGCAGTCAAGGTTGTTGACCTGGTATGTACACACAATTGCTTGTTACCTTGTTCTCTTACTTCAGATTTTCTTTTTCTTCTAGTGTTTTACAATTACATTAACCAAATTTTGTATGTTTTATACTAGGATGATTATGCTGCCACTGGTGAACAATATGAAGAGAAGCTTAAAAAGGAGACCCTGGTTTTTTTCATGGTTGCCATGTAAGATAGATTTTCACTTCTACTGATGCTATATTTGGTTGTGTATTTGTTTCAGCGTTATACGAAGTATGGGTTATTTAATATAATTGAGACTGACATTGTAGTTACGGGGATGGGGAGCCAACCGACAACTCTGCTAGATTTTACAAATGGCTTACCGAGGTTGGTACCTTGAAAGAGCAGTTAAATTTAGACTTTGTTTATGCCATCATTCATCTTTTTTGTTAATTAACACTCACTATTTCGTTGTTTTGTTCAAATCTAGGGGAATGGAAGGGAGCCCTGGATTCAACAACTCACATATGGCATTTTCGGTCTTGATAACCGTCAATATGAACATTTTAATAAGGTAACATTGGCTCGGGACTCGCCCGCTGAATCACTTTCTCCGTTGCAATTGTGGTATCTGGTTTTATGGTTTCTTTTTTTTCCCTTTCGTTCTTCCAAAATAGATAGCAAAGGTTCTTGATGAGAAACTTTCCGAAGAAGGTATTTTTTACTTCACTTATTTTAAGATTCCACCCTTCTGATCTTGATGAGATTCTACGAAGTGTACGATTTTTTTCTTGTGTGAAAAAGGTGCCAAAAGTCTTATCAAAGTTGGTCTTGGTGATGATGATAAATGTATTGAAGATGATTTCACTGCATGGTATGTAATGCTCTTTCAGTCGTACCCGAAATTCTGTTTCTTCTTCATTTTTGAAGCTGAAGCATCATAATATCTTACCTTGGTGACTCGAGCTTTTCTTGGGGACTATACTTCAATGTCGTGCTCTGCTAGCTTTACTGTACATCTTTTTCATTTTTTTTGTTCCTTCCTTAGGAGAGAATTGTTATGGCCAGAGTTAGATCAACTTCTTAGAGGTGAAGAAGATGAAAAGACTGTGTCTAACTCATATACAGCTGCTATTCCCGAGTATAGAGTAGTGATTCATGATCATTCTGTGATTCACATCAAGGATAATCACTCAAATATCGCAAATGGGAAATCTTCACATGACATCCACCATCCATGCAGGTAATAAGGGATGTGTGTTTTGTTCTCTCCCCATCCCACTTTTGGTTTTCATTTTGAGATCATCGTTAAATGATTTGCCAAGAGTTAATGTTGCCGTTCAGAATGAGCTCCACAAGCCTGAATCTGATCGCTCTTGTGTACATCTGGAGTTGGACATATCGGGGACTGGTATAACGTAAGTTCATAGCTTTCTAATGTTCGCTACTCTATAAATTGATTTCCTGGAATTCTATGTGAAAGTATTATTAATATTTTTGCTGCGTTTAAGTGCTTTTGACATCACAGATTTTGGTCTTAAAAAGAGGAATGAAAGATAACATTCCTTTCTGATTTTATGATCTTTTACTATTGCAATTAATAAGTGGAACTGTTACAGATATGAAACTGGAGATCATGTCGGTGTTTTTGCTGAGAATAGCATTGAGACTGTCGAGGAAGCAGCAAAATTATTGGATCAACCACTGGATTTGCTGTTTTCTATACATACCGACAACGAGGATGGCACATCCCGTGGAAGCTCATTGCCACCACCTTTCGACAGTCCATGTACACTTCGAACAGCATTGGCTCGCTATGCAGATCTCTTAAACCCTCCACGAAAGGTAAAACAAACCCCCCCCCCCCCTTCCAAAAACCAATAAAATTTCTTGAAAATTTTCCTGATCCTCTAGTCCCTTTTGTTGCTTGATTAACATTTTTCTTCGTATTCAAACTGTTTTTTTTTTTTGGGCAGGCTGCTCTGGTTGCCTTGTCTGCTCATGTCAATGAACCCAGTGAAGTAGAAAGACTCAAGTTCTTATCGTCACCCCAAGGGAAGGTTGATGGGATACTTTGTGTTGCTTTTCTTTCTCTCGGTCTCATTTGTTCTCGTTTGTTATTATTTTTCCTATTGATTATGTGTTTTTCTTCCTTTTGCCCAGGATGAGTACGCACAATGGGTTGTTGGAATTCACAGAAGCCTTCTCGAGGTTATGGCTGAGTTCCCATCAGCAAAACCTCTGCTTGGTGTATTTTTTGCTGCTATAGCCCCTCATTTACAGCCTCGCTATTATTCTATCTCATCCTCCCCTAGGTGATTGAATTTGTTCTATCTACATATCGATGCAGTATTACCGTATACTTCGGCTTAATAAGAAGATTGGTCCCTTTGGGCAGGTTTGCACCCGATAGAATTCATGTAACCTGTGCTTTAGTTCCTGGTCCAACTCCAACTGGAAGAATTCATTGCGGCGTGTGTTCAACCCGGATGAAGGTAACGAATGTATCTCTCTTGTGTGGCTCCCGTTGCTCTTCTAATTTTTCTACTTTCTTATGTACCAATAGTGTTCATGTACCCGACAGACATTACTCAGATTCTATGACATCTAACATCTAACTGCATTGAAAATTTTCAGATGCTGTTCCTTTGGAGAAAAACACTGATTGTAGCCGGGCTCCCATTTTTATCAGGCAGTCTAATTTTAAGCTCCGAGCAGATCCTTCAATTCCAGTTATAATGGTTGGACCTGGGACTGGATTTGCACCTTTCCGAGGTTTTCTACAGGTTGATTACTCCGTTTTACATTTTTCTTTTATTTTGACAGAAAAGGGGAATGAAGAAAATAACTTAAGCTATCTCTTACAGGAAAGAGTGGTCCTTAAAAAAGATGGTGCTGAACTTGGTCTAGCTCTACTCTTTTTTGGATGTAGGAATCGAAGAATGGTTCAGATCTGATTCTGATAATAACGATCTTCTAGCAGCATCATTAGCATGTCTCATTGTAATTTTCAACCAATGTTGATATTCTTTTGGAGGATTTTATTTATTTACTTGTCCTGCAACTTCTTTAGGATTTCATTTAAGAGAACGAGCTCAACGACTTTGTGGAACAAGGTCCTCTATCTGATCTCAGCGTTGCATGAGTATGTTCAACATAAGATGATGGAGAAAGCAAGTAATAGTAGTAGGAAACCACAGATATTGCAGTTAATGATATAAAAATGGAGCATTATAAGTTAAATCTGTTGTTTCTGGAGTAGAGTCAGCCTATATATGGAGCCTAATTTCTAAGGGAGGATATCAGTATGTATGCGGCGATGCCAAGGGTATGGCAAGAGATGTTCATCGTGCCTTGCACACCATCTTTCAGGAGCAGGTATTGTTCATCATCGGTTTTCTATTTTCTTCGTTCTGTGTTCGGATAAACGTAGTTTAAAGTTTTCCAGGTAGGCTTGTAATGATAATAATTTGAGTTTCACCATCACCGATTCTTGATTAGTAGGAACATTAATCTTGAAACTTGTCTACGAGTTTCAGGCGAACGTGGACTCGTCAAAGGCGGAGTCTATGGTGAAGAAACTCCAGGTGGAAGGACGATACCTTCGAGACATCTGGTGATGATGGCCCTATGCGGTTCTTCGAAACATCCATGCCAAATATGGTGGTGGATTAGGTTTATATTTTCTAGCTCTAGCATCTTTAAGTGCTTCATCTCTAACGGTCTGGGGTAAAAGTAGCTGGTAGGATAGTATGGTGGTCGAAACAAAACCCGGTTTCATCCGGTGGTAGGAGTCAGTTGTGGATGTTAATCAACCTTTCCTTAACTTGTGTAATCTCAAATAATACTAGGAATAGAAGCAAAGTTTGTGCTTAGACTCCCCCCTTCATCCAAAATTGGGATGGTCATGGTCATAATGCTCTCTGTTTGTAGGTTTGGGATGGTCATAGTTTCGCTGTGAAACTAAATAAAAAGCCAAATAAATAAACAGTTGGAGTTACAAGGCTTGGTGTTTTGCTCTTTTTTGCATGCTTATTTTCCTCCCAAAACACATCTGCATCATCTTTTACTGTTATATCCAAGTAAACAGTTGGTGTTACAAAGCTTTTATAAACGAAGAACGTTAATAATGTTAAATTTGGCTTTTATTCTTTTACTGACTAAATTGTTTAATTGAGTAATGGATGGACTAACTTGAACTAATATTCATAACAGAGGCACTTGGCAGGTCCGAAACCTAAACTACATATATAAAACAGGAAGGGCATTAATGTCATTATACCTCGCCTCGGTTCTTTCTATTTTTGGTTCGAGGGTTTAATTTAAATTAAACAATTGAAAGATAAATTCAAAAAATAAATAAATAAGATTGAGAGAATTAGAAAACAAAGATCCATATTCCGAAGAGATTCCCGTTTCTTTCTCCACAAGAACATTGTTAGGCGCGTTCTATCCACGCTCTTCAACGGTCCCCCCCCCCCCCTTCAATCACTTCTCCACACGCTTCTCCTTTCCTTCTTCATCTTTGCCCCTTCCTCTCTCTCCATTCAAAGGGTTTTAGGCGCTTTTATTTTCTCAGTTTTTATCTTAAACCCTTCTAGGGTTTTCGCCGATTCCAAAATCCTTAGTTTCATTACCATGCCATTTTCCATCGACTAACAACTATGATTGAAAATACCAATACCAAGAAACAGAAGAAGGGTTCAATCAGTGAGGAAGATATCTCTACTCTTTTACAAAGGTTAGTTTCATCTTAAGTTCGTTATTTACCATCTTGGGCTTCTTTTTAATTGCCAACTATACAGGTTTTTTTTTATTGGTTTGGGCAGGTATCCAGCAACTACTGTTTTGGCACTGTTGCAAGAAGTGGCGCAATTCCCTGATGCAAAGTTGGACTGGAATGCTTTATTCAAGAAGACTTCTACTGGTATTTCTAATGCCAGGGAATATCAGATGTTATGGCGCCATTTGGTCTACCGGGACACCTTGCTTGAGAAATTGGACGATGGGGCTGAACCCTTGGTCAGTTTTCTTTTTTTCTTTTTTTTTTTGTTTTTTCTATGGTATATATCTATGTTTATTCTAAAAGATTTGAAATTCTTTAGCTACTGCCCTATTTGATGAGATGAAATTTATTTTGGGAATTGCTCTTAAAAGTAAATACATCCTTGAAATTAATATGGTTTTCCAATATGATGCGAAACTTTCCTGTCCATTAGAATATTGTTCCTTAAGGGTGTGTTCACTTCCAGATATTCTAGTTTCTAACTTGTAGCCTGCCAATCTGCTACAGTCTTGGTTTGACTTTGAAATTGGGAAATTTTAATCATGTTTGGTCACTGCTCAAAGGGTTGAAGTGGTGGTTGTTAATTTATAAACGATTCTTTTTGGTTGAAACTTGGAAGATGAGTGTTCTTCGTATTTGTTATAGCTCTAGTCTGGTCATATAACTTTTTTTTTTTTTTTTTGCAGGACGATGATAGTGACTTAGAATATGAATTGGAACCTTACCCTTCTGTTAGTAGCGAAAGTTCAGCAGAGGCTGTAGCATGTGTGAAGGTAAGAAAATTATATGTGATTGCCATAGAATTATATGTGGTTGTTAGTATCTCTGGTCTACATAGTTTTTGACCTTATCTGGTCAATGAGTAACTTGCAAGCTCAATGAAAAGGATAATTGTAGCCTTTTGAAAATCTAACCAATAACAATATTGGTTGTCTGACTACCTTCTCTTCAAGTTTCCAAACTCATTTATCTTGTTGCCCATTTCTTTTCCAAATTCGAATTGAGTCAACTAAGATGTTTATTCTTGTCAGGTACTGATTGCTTCTGGTTTGCCAAATGACTCGAGTGGTGCAAACAGCTCAATGGTGGATGCTCCATTAACTATAAATATACCTAATCTGAGGTCATCTAGAGTGACTTCAGAAAATTTGCAGCTCACTTGCTCAAAGCCAGGGATGAACATTACTGTTCCTGTTTCTGTTCAGAAAAAGATTTTGCCTGCTGTGCCATCGACTGAAACATTGGAAGGAAATGGACCAGCTGGTGCAAACCTGCCAAATCGCAGGAAAAGAAAACCTTGGTCAGATGAAGAGGATTTGGAACTTATTGCTGCTGTGCAGAAATGTGGTACTGGGAATTGGGCAAATATCTTACGAGGAGACTTCAAGGGAGATAGGAGTGCTAACCAGCTGGCTCAGGTTTAACTAAACTGACTTTTTTATTTTATATATCTGTTTCCTTCAATATCATATCAATCCTGCTATTTATGCAATATATAGACTCAAATGCACCATTCCTTTTCTGTATGGCTGAAATTCAATTCACTTTTATAAAATTAGTATAGCAAAGTCTGAGTCTATATTTGTTGCTTTGTGGAGCTGGGAATTAATAAACTTAAATTAAAATGCCTAGTAAACATTAAAGTAACTAGATTCATTTAACATTTCTGTCTTTCCATGCTACATTGAATTTGCTTGGGATGTGAAAGTTATGTTTTGGTTGATTTCATTAGTAAGTATTGATTACGTGATAGAAAAAAACGTATTTGCTCTTATTTTCTGTATGTGTGATTTTTCTGCTCTCTTAGGTTTGGTATAATGCTTTCAGATCACCTTATATTATTTGTGAATGCTTGTGTGGCGGTGTTGGTTCTTGGAGTGTTAATGATATATAGAACAATATATACATATTTTTATCCTCTTAAGTTTCTTATTATGCTTTCTCCTCGCGATCATCTTTTTGTTGATCCAAGAAAAACTTGTGTATTGATTCTTGGAATATTAATGATATGTAGAACCATTTATATGTATGCCGCTTCAATGAAAACTTATGTAAAATTAGAAGTTGTGGGCTAACTGAAGATTTTCCTCTGTTTAATATTTGCCAAAAAAAATTATGATTCTAGTATTAGATCTTGATGACTTATTTTGGAATTAGTATTTATTTATTGTGTTAGAAGTTTGTTTTTCTTGTCAAATATGTTTTTCTGTTTGAATTTTTATCACAATGTCACTATGATAAGATCATTCATTTACAGTTGAATGATATACAAAGTCAAAAGATTTCATTGAATACAAATATAGATATATGGCTACACAAACCATTGAGGGTAGTTCTAGATCTGGGCCAAGACAAACGGTTCAAGGGGATGTTTTGAAACCTTTGAATTTAGAGTATCATGGAATAGCCCCTGCCCCTGGATGGTGAACGACTTGTATATTTTGTTGAATTAGAACTAAAAACATGTTCTGGAGATGGTGAAAATGACAGCACAAGTATATTTTCGGTGTTTCTGTTTCCATATCTCAAACAATCAGCTTTTTCTTTGGTAAATATCATCTAGTTGCTACTTTAGAACAACAATCCGTTGTTAATCTATTCCGATCATGATATCTGGGTTTGCCCGGCTTTTCCCGGGTTCAAATCCCGGCAACGGAATTTCCTCAATTCTGTATTTTTTAAGAAAAATAAAAAAAAAAATTGTCCAGTTCTGTTAATCTTATAAGATGACTATAAGTTGGTCATGCAGATTAAAGCTCCACACCAGAATGGTTTTCCTCTTCTTTTTCACAAGCTAATCGTGGCAAGTTTGTTCTATTATTTGCAGAGGTGGAATGTTATTAAGAAGCGATTTGGCAACTTAAATGTGGAAGGAAACTCGATGATTTCTGAGGCACAGTTGGCAACTCGTAATGCTTTGTCCTTAGCCCTTCCTATTCCAGATAAAAATTTAACAGGTGCTTGTTCAAACAACCCTGGTAATTTTCTCCATCTAATGCTATTTTTAAGTTATTTGAAGTGTTTGATGTGGCAGCATTCTTTTGAGTAAGTGAGCCAAACTTATGAAGTGATGAAGTTATGGGAACCTTCTTTGAAAATGTGAGATCTCTTATTCTCTTTCTAATAGACCCACTTCTTGGCTACTGGGCCAGGTTTGAAGACTGCATCTGGCTCTGGACCTCCAATTGCTAGCGGTGATGCTTCAGTTCGAACCGAAAACCAGTTCCAACAAGGCCTCCTTGCTTCTGTTGAAACCCAAAATCAGTGTCAAACATCTGTCTCATCCCATAATCGGCCTCAATATGGCCCGATCACTTCTGTGCCCACCCAAAGTCCATCCCAGCAAGGTCCTGTTGCTTCAGTCCAAGTCCCAAATCAGTCTCAACATGGTCTAATGACTACACAATCCTCATCATCTGGTTCTACTTTAAAATCTCGGGTTAACTTGAAAAGAGTCCCGGCAAAACCTTTTTCCACCACAGGCTTGATCCTGGATGCCACTGCAGTTGCTGCTGGGGCCCGCTTTGGTAGCCCAAAGGCTGCTGCATCGCTGCTGAAGGCTGCCCAGTCCAAAAATGCTGTTCATATTATGACTTCAGGTGGCTCTTCAATTAAACCTCTCATTCCAAGTGGAACCTCTTCCCAATATGTTTGCACTGGTTTAACAGCTGAACCACACTCTTCTCCCGTTACATCTTCTACCTCGCATCCTGGTTCGGTAAAACCTGCAACTCAAAGAGTTGAGGATACTCCATCTGTTTCTTCCTCTCCATTAAATGCACTAATTCAGCAATGTAATGCTGGTACATCTGGTCCAACCATTGAAGGTCCTCTGAAGGAAGAGCTGGAGGCAGCAATGGAGATTTCTGTGTCAGACAGTTCGCCTAAAGAGCAGGTGCGGGAAAATAGAGCATGTGTTTCAAAAAATGAAGAAGGTGATGGAGTTAAAGATCATAAAGAAGCTGTGCCAAATCCGAAATCCAAGTTGAATCTTGAGGCCGCTACAGGACATTCTAATAAGAAATTAATGGTTATAAGTGATCAATTATATGCCAAAGCAAACCTGGTTGAAGACAGTGAAAATGCGAATGATAGTAAGACTGATTTTTCACTGGTTAAAAAAAGTGTCATTCAACCTATAGCTGAAGAGCGATGCGGGAATCAGAACATTATTGAGACACCGGCTAAAGTTACTCCTTTAAATGATGACCGCACCAAGAATCTGGAGGTTATGAGCACACCAGAAACTGACCAAGCTACAGAGTGAGGCATGGCATCTTGTTTATAGTAAAATATCTGTCAATTTTAGGTTTTTATCCTGCTATTTTAGGAAAATATATTGTAGATATTTATCTGGAAAATGAATCTCTTGATAAAGAAAGAAATTTGTAGTCTTTGTAGAAAGGAAAAGCGAAAAATTGGCTTGATTGTTTACCTTTTTTCATGAGAATAAATTTATTCGCTTTGAGTCATATTTTGCATTTCATTCATAAATGGGATTCAAGACGAATCTTTTCCAACATTTGGATTCCTGTTCTGAAAATGGTACTATCATTATGTCGTTCCGGTTCAGATTTTAGTTTGCATAGATCGAATTCATGGACAGAGAAGGAAAGAATGAGATGATGAAATCCAAAATGGAAAGTATTGAACCTATTAGAATTTAAATGAAAAGATGAAATGAGATCTTCCACAATGGCGTCCAAGAAAATTAAACAGATGGAGCTGCAAGAAACCAAGAGTCCATTCTGAGGATTCTTTAGGTTCTACTATGTAACTGAGCTGTTTCAACAATGTTTTCTTTTTCTTTTTCTTGCCCCGGAATTTGATTCCAAATAAGAAAGATTGGAGAGGAATTCGGGGCCGCCATGATCTCGAATGGGATAGTGAATTCATCGATGGTGACGACCAGGGTTCTTTGTCCAAATCCGCCATTGTTCTCTCGACTTCCTCCTTGAGTTGTCGGGCATGAGTGAAGCCCGATATCAACTGTTCGCTAACCCTTTTGATTTCCTGTTTCATGTTGAGAACCTCGCCTTGAAACTTGGCAGCCTCATATAGACTGATCCCAGTTTCTCCACTGTGGTCGCTTGCATTGGTCACCCTTGTTATCTCGTCTTGGAAGTTGCACAACGTCGAATGTTGATCTTGAACTTCGTCTTTCAACACCTCATTGTTCTCCAACCACGATGTTAATTCAGTTTTTATTTCTCTCATGTGATAATAAATGGGGCGTGCTGCTGATTTCATTGATTGCTGCTTGCCACCTTCTTGATTCTTTCTCAATTTTGATAACTCCGCTCTCAAGTCCTTCACTGAAGTTTGATACTTCTTTATCTGATGAACTGATGTGCTGAACCTCAACCAGAACTCAAGATTTTCCTCCAGCAAGTCATTGATACCTGATCGTATTTCGACTTCTACTGTTAAAGCACCATGGGGTCGAGTTTCGGGTTTTACCCGCGTAACATGTACTCCCATGTTCTCTGCAGATTCTTTGAATCCTCCCCGTGTAGTTTATCCGGCTTTCTCCTCATCTGTTGGCGATGGCTGAATGGCTTCAATTAAGTCAGATTCCTGGCTAGTACTTAGTCGAATTGCTTCATCTTCTACCATTTCTCATCCATATTTTCTACTAATGAGCTAAATTTTTTACGAAAAAATTGGATCACTTGGTCTCTCAAGGCGACCTCATTCTTCAGTTCCTTTATCTGCGATGCCAAGTGAAGGAAAGCGTCGTGGTTTTTCTTATCTACTTCGTTAAGCTTCTTTCTCACCTCCCTATAATTCTTAAGAACATGTGAGTACTCTTCTAGTAAAATCTTTTCTCAATCTCTGCATCCGGTAAAGTTCCTCTTCTTCATCGGTTTCGGGCTGGTCGACCTCTGCATTGAGGATACTGATTGCTGTCTCGGACAAAGATTTCGTATAATCTTTGTTTTCTCCCACCGGTTCCAGACCCTTTTCGGAATCACCATCAAGCTTGTAGCTTGAATCAGAAGCAACGGACAATGTTTATTATCAGCTTTGTTTTTCCCACCGTTCCCTGACCCTGTTTGGAATCAATGTCAAGCTTGTGGCTTGAATCAGAATGAATTTCTCCCACTGGTTCCGGACTCTTTTCGGTATCACTGTCAGGCTTGTAGCTTGAATCAGAAGCAACGGACAAATATTTCTTATCAGCCTTGTTTTCTCCCACCGGTTCCGGACTCTTTTCGGGATCATTGTCAGGCTTGTAGCTTGAATCAGAAGCAATGGAAAAATATTTCTTATCAGCCTTGTTTTCTCCCACCTGTTCCGAACCCTTTTCGGAATCCTTGTAGCTTGAATCAGAAGCAACGAACAAATGTTTCACATCAGCTTTGTTTTCTCCCACTGGTTCCAGACCAATTCCTATGTCTTTTAATGATGAACGAACGAGCTCGAGTTCTTCAGTTCCCTCGTAGGCTTTGGCATCGGGTCCAAATATTACACCTTCGGAGAATCCAGTGGTATCAATCTCGTGTAACTTCGCTGTTAAATGATTAACATTACAAATTGCTTCAATGAAATTAGCTTCGAGGCTGTTATTTTATTCTACAACAGTTTTTGCGTGATCTTTTACTCTACTTAGCTCTGCTTCCAACTCGTTAATCCTCTTTTTCGTGGCAGCCGAACCTTAGATCGGTGCTGCCTTGTCTTCTTCCAGGCTCCTAACTTGTTCCTGAAGTTCATCCGCTTCGTAGTTCAATCTCTTTACCTGAGCTTTTTCTGACAAGACCGCAGTTTCCAGACGTATAACTCTTTTCAAAATGTTGTCAATTTTCTTAACAAGCTGTTTCATTGTAAGAGATTCATTTGAGCCTAATTGAAGCTTCTCTTCGATCGCCCTTTGCAATGCTTGGATATCTAGGATCTTGTTTTCTTCTTCATCGATGTCGTAGACCATGTTATCAAGATCCGTCATTGATGCTTCCAATTTGTCTCCCTTGTCGACATGATGGACTATCTTATCGAGCTCTGCAGTCGAAGGTATGCGCTTTGGTTTCTCTTGCTGATCTGATGCTTCCGTATCTTCTCTGTTTTTAGCTTCATTGTCGATATCGTAGTCCATGCTATTGAGCTCGGCGGTCGAACTTACGCTCTTCGGCTTCCCTTGCTGATCCATCTGTAGGGACTTAAACTTATGTCTTCAAACTTACTAATTACATGTCTAATCCTTCTGGATTCTTCTCTTACCGCCTTCATCGACTGCTCGTGCTTTTCCTTCAACTTATCCAACGACTCTTGGCATGATTTAAGAGCTTGATTCGCCATTAGAGTTCGACCCTCATTGTCATCGATAACAGACCCGATTTCGAATTCGTACTGTAAATCGCATACTCTCTTCTGGTTTTCGATTTCATTGAACTTTTTGCATCCATACTCGTATGAACTCTTCATTAACTCCTTTTCAATTTGAAGTGCTAACATCTCCTTCTGAAGCTTATCAATCTCCTTCAATGCCTCATCTTTGTTCATTCCCGAAGCTCGAAATCCGACCGATTTCTTCGGAGCTCCCTTTCTCGGCGTGAACATAGCCTGGTTCCTGAACTCTTTCTTCAGAGATTTAGCTTTGGGGATGGCTGCTTTGTCACGATGAAAATCAAAATTATCATCGTCGTCTTCGTCGTCATACATCTCATATGGAACTCGATCAGGGAACACAGAGGCAATGGTGCTATTGGCACTTTGCAGTTCCTTGGACAAGTGATCGAATCTTTCGGCTAACGACCGATAAGACCGAAAAATCTCTTCGATGAGTTTTATAAGTTCTGGTCTCTTGCTGTAATACATCTCTACCCTCTTCGTAAAGGAGTCTCCTTCGTAATTAATGATTTCCAACATATCAGAGACCTTCTCCGTATCTGCAATATTCAAGTATCAATGTTAACTGTCACTTTAAAACAGGTATATTCGATTTTTTCATACACCGAAGAAAAATGAAGAGTACGAGTTTCCGAGAAAATGAAAGGAAATCCATGCAACCAATTTAGACTGTTTTGTTCTGATGTGGCTAGCCCACCACCATGAATACGCATTGCTTGCAGCTCTCTGCAACATGGTTTTGATTTGTGGGTGTGTTTAGATCCCATGCAAAATGGTAACGGTGATGATGGCCATAGAAAAAAGTGACAAGTCTTGCAGCAAATGGGGAGGGGTTAGGGGGATGGCCCGACGGGGCTGCAAAAATAGCAAGAACATGTCCAAATGGCACCGTGTTCAAAGTGGAGTTGAATTTTGCTAAGTTTGGGGTTTCCTATTATAAGATGTCCTCCAAAGGCCCCCTTTTAGAGTTTCAAAAAACACATGCTACAATTCATTCAGGGTGTTTGGATAAAAGAATGTGAGATTCCTGGGAATGGAATCCATATTCTCATGTTTGGTTGACTGGGAATCTCATTCCCGGTAATGTTTTATTACCAATAGTAGATTTTTCTGGGGTATATTACCGAGAATGTCATTACCTCCCTTTCCTTAGATATTGTTGGATTACTGGCGTTTTGGACTAAAATGCTCTTAAATTTTTTTTCTCAAAAATATCTTTCTTCTGTCATTGAATAATAAAAATTCTACGAAGGTTAAATTATAAATTTATCCTTAAACTATTTTAGATTTACAAAAAAAACTATAATTAAAATTTTATATGAAGTTCAGGGGTTAAAATAAAATTTTACCCTTTCATTAAACCTTTTTATATTTTCCATTTTGTTAAAAAAATATATAAATTTTATGAATTTAATTTTTTTTAAAGAAAATACATAAATATTTTCCAACTTGTTAAAAAACAAATATATAATAAGGACAATTTGATCAAATATACATTCCAATAATCTTTTATTCTTTTAACCAAACACGGTAATCTTACATTCATACTAAACCAACCAAACACAAAATACAACATTCTCAGTAATCCTATTCCCTGATAATCTTACATTCCCACTGGTAATCTTACATTCCTTGAACCAAACGCAATTACTTCTACCACAGCACCAACAATTATATTTGGTTCAAGTCTTATACCAGATGTTATAGTGAAAAGAATCAAACCTTAATTTATTAAAGAATATATTAGCATCAAAATCATTGAAGCAAGTTTAATTATTGGTTTATAAATAAATGCATTCCATATGTATTTTGAAATATAATTAATGTAGGATTTAAAATAAAAATAAGTTTAATATTTTGGAGAAAAATATTAAATTAATTTAAAATTATGACCGATTTGATAAATGTGTGAGCAATGAGAACTAAATATACAATTATACTAATTTTATTAACTATCACGTCAACACTTTCATTAAATGTTAACGGCATATAGCTTGATTGACATCATTTAAATAGTTAAATAGTCTGATTGAAAAAATCGAGAAATCTGTTATCAAAATGAAAAAGGGATAATAATTCAGTGACCATTGCAATAGTTTATCCTTAAATTAAATTGATATCCAATTACATCACCTTAATTAATATATATATTACATCGGGAGAACAACTATGCAGGGTAAAAATATTTTTTCTATTTTTAAAATTTAGCCATTTTATTTATTTTCTTAATTAAATTGATGTCAAATTAACTTGCGACTCTAATTATGTTAAAAAATTAATATATAGTGTATGTATATGTTTCCTATTTACAAATAATAAGAAACCTAAATGGGATAAAAACATGTTCAGATGATGTTAACCAATTCAGGTTCGAAGCAAATCAGGGTTGGATGTGGACATATCATTTTTGGGCTAAATTCGGAGCAGCCAAAAATCCGACCCACCTTACCCGATTATCATCACATTAGCCGGTATATGACAGGTTCATCTCCTTGAACAAAATGGCCTTAGGACTGCCATGTTCATTTCCATTTTGGCACTTTCAGCTCCTTGTCTTTACCATAACATGGAACAGTAACAAATTGTTTGGTCATCTGCAGCCAAATTAGATAATTCTTGACCCACAACGGAAAACTACAAACGTCGGAACAACAAGCTATCCAACTGTGCTCCGATATGCCGATGATTTTTATCGATCAATAACGTTTGGAGAAAGAAAAGACTTCTGTTGTATACACAATACTCGCAATTACTCGAATATTATATTTACAGCAGTACAACGAGAACATAAATCTGCTTCAGATTTTTGTATGTACACTGATATTTACAGCAAAGAATTAGAATACACACACAACGTTCTCCCTTTATTCCTAGCCAAATCTCCCAATAAATATACCACACACACACACAGACACAAATGGACATTAATCTACTTCATCTGATCACGGCATGCAAGGAAGACATATCGTCGGCTCTATTCTCTTTTGTTCTCAAAGGAAACAGCAGAAGAGGACATGTCTAGTCCCATATTCACACCACGTTGGTCCCCTCACTGTTGTTTCTGCTGCTCATCGGTTGATATCTGTTCCGATCCTCTTCTATTTGCAAAAACAAATCGATGAAGCAAGTCATTCGTCCGCCCTCCATCTTCTTATCTTCTTTAAAAGAATTTACGCTATCTATATCTTTGTACAATACTTATAAACACTAGACCACGTTCTTCCAGCAGACGGGCATTCATATGCAATCTTCATTGGTGCATGACATCAGTTAGTCTGCAGGGAAGAAAGCCATTGTTCCACGTACTTTTTGCTTTCTGCAAATTGAACAACACAGAGAAAAGGACTTAGATCGATACATTCGCTTCAGCAAATTCGGTAAATCTTATGGAAGACGACCATGATTGGAAACTTAAAGCCTATAAAAATCTCAATGGAACTTTTCACAGTTCAATGCATAAATCTCACAACTAACCATAAATCAATTATCTCTTTGTTTTCAGGTCACTACACACCATCGAAGTCACCGAGAAATGCTTTACAAGTCGAACCTAGAACGTTGTTAGTCTGCACATACTTTTCCTAATGCAACCTTGAATATTTTGAACAAGTAAAGAATTCAACAACATTCGTGGACAAGTTTAAAACATAAAAAAAGTGCATCTAGGTTCACAGCGCTGAATATGCTCTATTTCACAAATTCACGAGCTAAAGTTTGTGTTTGGTCCGTGAGCTGCCACGTGCCGAGCTGCATCTTGTCCTTTCCTACTTCATAAATACACATCACAAATAACATTGCAAAGGCTCATGAATGGGATACAATCCTATATGGAATTTACAATATTCAAATCCAGGTTGTTTCCTACGATGTCAAAGACTTCCAAACTAAACCTTAGAACCAGTCTAGTCATCAGCTTTCTAACCAATAAAGACGATGGAATTGAAAATTAATATTCTTGACATTAAAAAACAGGTGAGAAATGGTTCTTACCAGCAGAATAATTGTCAGGAAGGTTGACAATGGCACCGAGAATATTGTTCTTTGAATCTGCCACCACATTATCCTGATTGTGCCCGTAACATGGAACCAATACTGCAAAACTGTTATCCGAATCATCATCACTCTGGAATCCAGGTCCATGAGGCTCTAACCATCCAATGGAGTAATCAGAACCATCAGACTCGGACCCCGACACACACCCTCCATCAGATGGCACAAGAACTACATCATATTCCCTATCGATCTTTCTTTCCTCCCGGCTGTGCCATTTCCTCTTAACTCTTCTCGACGAAGAAGACATATTAGCCCTCTTAATCCAAGGAAACTTCAGGTTATCTGATTCCCATAACCCTGAATCAGGTGAGGAACTTAAAGAGGACTTATTGGCAGTTCTAGGTTCTTGATGTTTCCCACTCCATAACCACCATGAAAGATGAGTAAAGGCCAAAGCCATATGTTTAATTAACCGTAGCGACGATTCGTTAGGAATCTTTCGGCACAAGAAAAAGTTTCTAATATGAAGCACAAATATAGCTAATATCCAATCCCCAGCTGAACCTGAATCAGAAGATAAGCAATTTCATCAGAACTTTCTGCATTTGAAACAAATCACATACTTAACAAACTGCATTCAACCCAGAATTCTCTGAAGGAATTAGATGCAGCAAAAACAAACCATCAAACAGAAACGTTTGAAATCTTATATTTTCCTTGGCTTCATCTCACAATGTGTACATCTTTGTGATAAACAAAATTTACAACAAAAATACAGCCTTGGACAATATTTAGTGTCAATAAAATAAATTTAGACACAATCCAGAAGAATGAAAGATGCCTAGCAATAAAATAAAAAAATAGATTGTTTTCCTGCTAAAAATAGATTTCCAAATTTATCAATAAAATAACCGTAAAACTAAAAACTCAACTTTCCATTCACATTTTCTCAACGAATTACGAACAGAATCTCAAAATAAACAATTTCAAATCCCTCAAAAAAAAGAGATGGGCACGTTGAAGATAGAAGTTTCCTTCTCTGATGGATCCAAAGAAAAAAGAAGACGACAAAGAAACCCCCAAAGTTCATTCCTTGTGTTTCATAATCGACTATAGAGGAGAAGACTCGTTGGAAACTTTAAAGAACAAAAAAGATCAACAAAGTACCTTAAAAGCTTCCCCACCGAAAAAGGCAAAAAGACCCAGAATTTCAGAGACGGTGATGAAATCGAAATCCCACCAGTTTTGTTTTTAACTCTCGTTGATCTGCCTTCACTTGCAAGAATCAATTTTGTTTTTTAAAACAGAGAGATAAGACAGACTCCATAGGAAGAGAGTTTCATTAGGAATACAGCGAATAATACTTTAACAGCTGAATAATACTTTAACAGCTGAATAATAATATAATATTTGCAATTATTACGCAGCGAGGGGAAGATGCTTTTGGATTGGTGGAATTAGTTGTGTTGAAGTGAAAACCTGTGTAGAGGGTTAACGATATTTGAGGCGGAATTTGGTTGCCTGGTCAGATATGAGGTGCGGTAGTAAGGGTGACGAGGCGGAGAATTTGACCAGAAAACTGAAATAAGGAGAAACGTGTGCTTGTTGTTCAAGTAAACCCTCTTCCTCGGAATTCCCTGTTTACCTGACCTAATGTTCTAATTAAAACACAAATTAAGTTATCTCGGTGGGAATAAACTCTAATTAAAATATTATTTACTTTTTCAGTTAATATTATTTTTGATAAATTTTATAGTAATAAATAGATATCTTAGCAAGTCAAAAATACACTCCTCAATATTATCGAGTGGGAATAAATAATTCATGGGTACATTAAATTGGTAATTATGAATAATCTTTTAAGATTACGTTTAATAGACATGCATGCATCCTTTGTTGATCTCAATCTATGGAGAAATTATTATATGATATTGACTCACTACTCTCGATTAATAATATTTGTCCATATCATTTTTTCTAAGATGAATATTATTCATATATTTTCTACATATAAATAAAAAGTAGATATTATTTAAAAGTTATCTTAGAATTTGTATTTATTATTCATTAAAACCAGGAATTATATGATGAGCCAAGTCAAGAAATAATTTCTCAAATTTATGACTTTTAAATTTCATTAATTATCCCTATAGGCGGCTATCTTTCAACTAAACTATCGTCACCCTTCTACCCAGAATTTCAATAATTTTATAAGAAATAATACCATTTTTTATTATTTATATAAATAATATATAAAAATTATGGATAAATTACTCATTTAGTACTTAAACTATTAATTTTATCTGTTTTAGTACTTAAACTTTTAATTTTTTTCAAAATCATTCATAACATTTAGTTTTTATTTCGTTCTAGTATCCCGTCATTAAAAACTTAGCAGGTGATTTGCATGTTGCACCTTTTTTATGATTAAATTGCATCATTCATCACTCAACTATCTTCTCACTACTATTTTAGTCACTAAAGTTTATTTTTAATTTAATTACTTAACTTTCAAATTACTCACAATTTAATCACTCTAACTTTTATTTTTTTATTTCAATTATATATTAATAAAATAATAAAAATAGCATGTCATAAAAATTAATAATAAAATAAATTAAAGTGATTAAAAAATAGGAGCAATTTGAAAGTTGAGTAGTTAAATTGAAATTTTTTAAGCTTTAGTACCAAAATAGGAGTGAAAAGATAGTTGAGTGATGAATGATGTAATTAACCCATAAAAATTAAATGCCATTAAGTTTTTAATGACGAGGTACTAAAAAGAAATAAAAACAAAACATTATACATGGTTTTAAAAAAAGTGAAAGTTTAGGTATTAAAACAAATAAAAACTGATAGTTTAAAAATGTATTTTTTAAAAACTATATATATATTTTTTTTGTAAAGACGTGTCATGTCAAATGTGCGTTTTAGAAATGTGTTTGAAAATATATATCTATATTGATAGTTTCAATCAAAATATTTAAAATTTATATTTTGGGGCTAAAATGGGAAAAAAAGGTGTAACACCCTAAACACGATTGGGCCTAAAATATCATATTGGGCTACCAAGGCAACCCTGAATTTCAAAACATATTCAATCTCTTTTCAAACATGCTAAATGGTATCATAAATAAAACATAAATAATTGTTATAAAAACATTTTATAAAACCAGAGCTCTGTGACATATAATTTAAAACTAAAATAATACAAACTCTGAGTTTAATAAACTGAATACATGAGTAAGGTTCTATGAATACATATGCCCACTAAGCTACGGTACAGTACTCTGAATAAGATAATGGAAGTCCTGTTGCGACGATGCTCCACAAACCGCTCAAGCTACTAACCTGCAAACAAAAAACATCCGAAGGTTGAGTTTACAAAACCCTACAATATAATCGCTAAACTAGAGCAACATAAGAATTTCATAAATACAAGCATGCTGAAGACATGGTATTAAGCAGTAGATACATGTATGATCTAGATCAAGTGCTACCTACTTAAGGCTTTACTGTTCTATCACTGAAGTAAGAGTCTCACGCTTCTCTTAGTCCTATGCTAAGGGCCTCACCATGAGTACACATCTAAAGGGTCTCTAACCTTAATGACTGTAACTACTACACATTATCTAAATGTGACACTGATACTCATATGCATTATCTGAATGCAAACCTGACCATAATGTGCATTATATGTGCATTATCTGAATGCAAACATGACTATAATGTGCAATATCTGAATGTACCTGACCATAATGTGCATTATCTGAATGTACCCTGACTAGTATCTGGTCTCACATAGCCATCAGACCATCGGCGAAGTTCCCACTAAGCTGATGAATGATCTCCTAGTCCTCACATAGCCATTAGATATATCATTAAAGGGGAACCCGGTGTAACACCCTTGTAAACACCATTTTTAAAACTAACCCCCAAATTAAACCCAAATCCATATACCTAAACTAAACCCTAAATATAACTCAATCAAAAAATACAACCCAGAATCCCAAACCCGAAGCTAACTAACCTTAACCCGACCCAGACACCAATTTAACCCGGGAACAAACCAAGCCTTACCCAAACTCTAAACCTAGACCCCGTAGCCGCCCATTTCATCCACCCATTGGCCACCACCCCTCTGCCCTAATCACTGCCAAGGTCACCCGTGCACTCCACTACCTGTAGAAGATATAGAAACCAACAAAATGTATCATAATTTTTCTTGTGTAAAGGGGATATAAACCCCCTGCATGGATCACTGTAACTCTCTCGGGGGGATTTTGAAGAAAAAAACTGTAAACATTTCAGCAATAAACAATCACTAAGGTTTTTTTACTTCGAACTGTTTTTGGTACTTTTATTTGTTTACGTTTTTTCTTTTATTTTTTTTCTCTTTTTTTTCGTTTGTGCTCTATTGTTCGATTTTTATTTCAAGCACCATTAGTTTCGTGTAGAAACATAAAATATCATATCAAAAATAACAATCAATATATATTTTTAAATCGAATGAAAGAAAAATAGAGGCCTTTTTCTTTAAACATGCATCAAATATGTTTTTATTTTTTATTTATTTCGAACCCAATAATCCCAACTAGCCAGAAAATAAAACGAAAAAAAGTAAAAATGAGCATATCGATCGTACCTTAGTCGGAGGCGTCACCAGTGTTCGTGGAAGCCGAATGGTCGGAGCTTTTTCCTCGGATTTGGGGGTGTTTCTCGGTGTTTTAGCCCCGAGGAAGGGTCTTAGGGGTAGATCTAGGCTCGGAGGAAGTTTTGGGTCTTTTCGGGTTTTCCGATTGGCGGCCGACAGTGGGTTGACCGAAACCAGGCGATAGAGAAATGAGATTTCTCTTTTTTTTCTAAAACGGGTTACAATTGAGAAAAAATTGAAATGATTAGTATTTATAAAAGAATTTTTTTGTTTAATTATGTTTAAACCCCAGTAAGTTTCATGCATTTTTTCAATTTGGTCCATGTAGGGACCAAAACTGCCATTTTACCTATTTTTGTGCGTGCAATATTTTTTTTGAGATATTTATGTTTTAGTCCCTCTAACTTTCACGTGTTTTTACATTTTGGTCCCTAATCTCTTTATTTTTATTTTATTTCGATTTAGCCTTTTAATTTCGATTTGTTTTACTTTAGCCCCATTATATGTTTAATTTATTCTCTTTTAGTTTGATAGTTTGACATTTATGCATTTAGGTCCTTGTATTTATGTTTATTTTATTTTTTATCCTTTTTATTTTATTTATGTTGTTTTTTTTTATTGTTTTAATTTTTTCATTAATTATTTTGTTTCATAGTTTAAATTATAGATTTATTTTTTAAATTAGATTAGCGTTCGAATCAAGCTTAGAAATTAGGATTTCACATTAGTTTTAATTAGGGAGCAATTTGATTCGAGTTTTCACATAAGATGCCCTATTACCCGAATCTATTGCTCGATTCTAAAATTGATTAATAATTAATATTTTTTTAAAAACTTTAGGTTTAATAATTTAGATAAAAATTAGCTTTTAAATGAGTCATCAACTTTATAATTTATCAATTTAGGACCTTAAACTTTTAGTCTCTTTGAGCCTGGTATTTTAGTTCTTTGACATTTTTAGTCCCTAAACTTCGATTAGTATTTTAATTTTTGCATAATTAATTAAGATTAATATTAGAGCCTCCATCTTAGGCTTGATTTCACATTTAGTCTTTTAAATAGGTGAATTCTTAATTTGGTCTTCGCTTTTGCTCGAGGTTCCAATTTAATTATTCGAAATAATATTTATTAAAATTAATTTAAGGTAAGGTTAGAACCCTTACTTTAGTATAGATTTCACGCTAGTCCTTTTAATTTAGGGAATAATTTGAGTTGGCCTTTTCCTAAATGCTCGAGGGACCATCTCGATTATTCAATTCGATAATTGATTAAAATCAAATATGATTAATATTAGAGCCTACATTTAGGTTTAGTCCCCTAGGTTCCTTAATTTTCATAAATTGACACTTTAAGCTAGAAAAAACCTTTATTTTACCTCAGCTTAATTAGGATTAAATAAAATTTTGTTTGATTGCATTATTTTTTAAACCTAAGGCAATGTTCACGTTTTAGGGAATTATGATATATCTCCCGCAAGAATACTCAGGGGGTGACTATCGGTGATTCCCGAAATAGGTCGACATCCTTTTCAAAGACTGCATCATGATTTTCTAAAAACGAGGCAATATTCGGTTATTAGACACAATAGTTGATTTCTCTCATTTACGCTTGGGAGCGAATGCTATAGGTCTCAATAAACGAATACCCTTTTCAATTTTGCATCCGTAATGATTTTCAAATTAAATAAA